AAAAACTTCCCCAAACTGCAGTCACTTCTAACCATATGCACACCTTGTACATGTGCATGCCCACACTCATTTTGTTATGTAATGTAGGTTTACTAGGCATATTCAAATTTAATTTAAACACATACAGGGTACGGCACATGTATCGTACAACCCTCCTGGTGTTTTGGGATCTCATCGAAGCTCATCACAGTGTTGAGTTTGGATCATGCAGATGTGTATCATACAGTACATTCCTTCCAGATTTCTACAGATTCCAGTTCATCTGCTCTGATCTCAGACTTCCATGAAGTTTACATGTACTTCATAGCTGAAGAACTTTTTCTAATATGGGACTAAGGTACTGTTCAGCTCCGGAGGGCTTTGCGCTAGGTGCTAGCTGTGCCTGTACCAGAAAGTCACCTGGTCGTGAATCAAGAAAATGGATAGGAGGAAGGGTTGCTTCTCCTCCAGCAAGTATTTTGTACGGCGGGGATGGTGTATTGTTTAATAGATACTGCTTCACTTCAGCTGCTGTTGGACGTTCCTTGTACTGCCGTAGCAGCATTGTGTCAATAATGGCACGTAGCTCCTGGCTTATTTGAATGGTTAACCCATCAGAAAGCTCACATCGCTCCACATCCCCATCATGAAGAGCTTCTCCGATACCTTTTAAACTTGTATAAGCGGCCTGTTGTACATTGTATATGTAAGAGGGCACCAAGAAATTGTGAGATGGTGGTAGAACATTGCGTTTTAGCATGCAGACAAATATTTCTCCCATTAGGAAAACATCAGACTTCTCAGTATAGTGTTCATCTAGAACTTCAGGGGCCATGAAAAATCCTTGGCCACAGACAGACTTCATGTAGTAGTTTTGAAGACTGCCCCCTTGTTGGGAGTCTGAGGCTAATTTAGCGAGGCCGAAATCACCAACTTTCAGGGTACCATCTTCCGTGAGTAGAATGTTGTCTGGTTTCAGGTCGCGATGTATGATGCCGTTGGCATGAAGGAAAGCCACAGCTGAGGCAATCTGCCTCATGAATCGTAGGTCTCGCTGAGGCTCCCGTGTGTTTGACAACAAGAAGGCATTGAGATCACCCCTACAGCAATACTCCATGACCAGACAAATATTGTCATTTTCGATTATGATGGTTCGATAATACTTGATTATGTTATTATGTCCAGCAAGCCTACAAAGGGCGTTAATTTCATTCAAGGCGTCTCCTGTCAGGGGCAGGATCTTCAGAGCACGCAGGTTGTTAGTTTGTAGCTCTCGCCCAAGGTGGACCTCACCAAAGGCCCCTGCTCCCAACATCTTTTCAATCGAAAACTCGGCTCTCAGTATCAGCGAGTCAGACATTTTGGCACACTGAGAAACAGCTTAATGTTCAATGTTCAGGATACTGATCACATACAAAATGTATTCACCACGATTTCCACCGTATTCAAGAGAGATTCTGCCTGCTTACATGTAACTCTTACATTCTTCCCACTTCGGACGCCATTACAAGAATTTTCCTTCTCGTAAATTCTTTTTTGACCCAGAATTAATTCCGGAGCGCTGCCAGACAAAACCTGGTCACCGCTGTCTGGGTTACCTCCGCCCTTCCCTTACAATAAACACTTTTGTATTACTCTTAACGAACCACAGTAAACTGTGTTGAGTAAATATGAATATTGCATACCCCTGGTCGCTCTAGGCACTTGACAACAATTGATGTGGGTCTACATATGAATCGTGACAACAATTGATGTGGGTCTACATATCGTTACGCAAAACCGTTTCCTGGTCTTCCCAGAATTATCCCTGCGCTGCATACATTAGTTCTATTTTTAGATTAGTGCATACACAGCTAGCAATTGAGCTTTGAGTAGGCAGTGCCCTTATTCTGTTGACCAAATTTATAAATCAACAATTAATAATTTTTTTATTCAACCTTTTCTCCACATTGCTATGGTACCGTATTGTGCATTGTGTACGGTACTGTCCAAGACCTGTATACACACACCACCAATACACATTACACATTGCACAATGAATCTTTTCAAGTTTGGTGTTTGGTTGTTGTGGTACAATATCGTACAAGGAATCTATTGAGAGGAATAGTTGTGGGAAAAAAAACATTCTAAAAGGCTACAAAATGTATGTAAGTGTCATGAGTGTGGTGTACGTAGCCAATTACACCATAACGACCTCATATACATACATGTAACGTAATTATGCAAAGAATACAAATTTGTTACTGTATTTATAAAACCAAGATTCCTTTATGTAGGCTTACTAAATTTCTTATTTTAGATGAGCTGCGAAGCAGATGCGAGCCTTTGTAATGCCAATTTCCATCTGTCTGTCCGTATGGGCACCCGTCTGTCCGTCTGCATTCTGCAATGTTGAAGTTTTTGGTTCTAGCTAATTTGGTGAAAAAAGGGAAATGCAGTTTACATACATACATGTATACATTATCTCTACGCTATAACTTCTAAAATTTAGGGTTATTTAATTGCAGTAAATTTTATGATTTTATTGAGGAATTTTAATCCAAGAAAATGTTAAAGTGTTTAATTGTTACATGTACATTCATACCGGCATTAGGCCTACATGTACATCGGTATTACATGTACATGTAGGCAGTAATTTCCATTGTACTACATTGAATACATTTGGGGGAGCATTCATGTGTATCCATGGGCATATGGTTTGATCTGTTAGTTTTATGGGGTTGATCCGGAGTAGCTAGGGTGGGAGTGGCAGTGAGGTAGGGATGTGTAGGGGAGTTTTGGGGTGGTGTGGGGTGGGAGATAAGGGTTGGAGTAGGGGTGGGTGTGGTGGGGATGTGTAGGGGTGGGTGGGGATGGGGTTGGTGGGTGTATGGGTTGGTTAAAGGGGAGGATGGGATATACCGGTAGGGATTGGAGTAGGGATGTACATGTATGGGTGGGGTGGGGATGTATGGGTGGGTATGGGTAGGGGGAGAATGGGGTGGGTGGTGGTAGAGAGTGGGGGAAGTATCCCACAGGTATTTAAGGACATTTGTTGACTTTTTTTGTTGGCATTTAAAAACTGACCCCTACACTTTGGCAAATCATGCCCATCATGCCCATCTTCCATCATGCCCATCCCCAACCCTACCTTCAGCCTCCCTTCCCGCCTTCGACAGCGATCCATGGCAGCTTTGCCGTTCTAGTCAGAATTGAAGTTTCCTCTTTGTCTAATGCACTGTCAATGTTACACATGTATAACGTGTGTAATGTCGCACTGTTCCTACGAAAAGACGGAAAAACTGAGGCTGCTTGAACTTATGATGTGGCGGACATTTTGTAGCATCCACCAGCAAATATAAGTCTCTTCCTTGGATGTTGCCCCCAGCTTTTGTCAGACGATTCAAATGTACATTTGTTTATGGGTTTGTTTATTGTGTAAATTGAGGATACACATTATAAAACATCCTTGTGTAAGTGAGGACAGCTCAAATCGAGGACATACTCGATTAGAAAATGTGAGAACAAAACCGATGAGAGCTGTTGCAAAAAAGTTAGGGTACAATATGAACAAAAGATCGATGATGAGGAACATAAAAATCCTGGATTTGCATACTGTACACCATAAACAACCATAGATTTGTGTAAATCGAGGACACACATCCGAGGACGTCCTCCATTAGAAAAAGTGTACAAATTTTCCAATGGGAGAATAAAGATCGATGATGAAGAACAATAGGAAATCCTCGATTTACACATTGTTCACCATAAACAGACATGTGGGCGGGTTGTACTGCGTTACGGGGAAGTTTTTTTTATTCTTAGGGAAATTAGGACTGAGCTACGGGGACTTTCTGCTGTCCCCGTAGCGTTGTGGGGTCCCTATGATACTGTACATGTGTAATACATGTACAATGGGACAACATGTGTTTTAAGTCCCCATGGAACAATAAAATGTGGGCAGGCGGTCACCGCGTTATGGGGAAGTTTTTATGGTTAGGGAAATTAAGACCGAGTTATGGGGACTTTCTGCTGTCACCTTAGCGTCTTCGGTCCACATAATTACGGTACCATGGGACAGCACGTCCCCACAGTTATTTATATGGAATCAGGAATGTGTGTACATGTGAGTTTGTATGTAGTACGCATTCAAATCGTTGACCTTGAACAATAGAGGACAATATGGTCCATGCATGATTGACAAAAGGTCCACAATTGAGATTTGTGTACAAAACCAATGAGAACTGTTGCTAAAAGAGTACAAACAAAAGGAGAATAGGGGGTCCACGATTGCTGGTGTATACACAATGGGGTGTGTGTGATTTCAATGGGCCCGAGGACCTGGGCGCTAGTCCTCAGGAGAATTTTGTGTACAGGAGCTGTCGAGAAAAAGTTAAGAGTACAAACAAAAGGGAACAAAAGAAGGAAAGGGGTCAGGCCTCATTGGCATAGTAAAAACGAGTCATTGGGTACATTTGTTTATGGTGTAAATTGAGGACACACACAAGCAACATCATTTATAAATCGAGGACAGAAACCAAATTGAGGACTCCTCGATTGGAAAACGTGTATAAAACCAATGAGAGCTGTTGCATACAATGGAAAAGGGAAGAAGAACAATAGAAAATCCTTGATTTACACCATAAACAAATGTGCTGGTGAGTTTGTTTCTGCATTTAATAGGGGACGTTGAACAATAGAGGACAATGTATTCACGAAGGTCCCCAATTTGGCGATGTGTACAAAACATATGGGAGGTAAACTGACTCCGGCTAAGTCAGCACTCTCGGGACCCAAGAATTTGTGACGACTTACGTAAATGCCGATATTTGCTGTAAGTAGATCGTCATTTTGCTGGCTTACATAAATGGTCTGTTGCGCACATGATTCATTCCACTACATTGGCTTCGATTTACCCTGGATTATCTCCTCATGCTTGAGTTGAATCCAGCAAATTAATCCTTGAATTGTATCATCATGTTTGGGGTATTGATAGTGGAGACCACGATACATATGTACGTGCGCTGTGCACAGTAAGGAATTAAATGCGTGCGAAGACGCGTTTGCAGAATCAAAGTTCCCCCTAAAGACATCATTGAAGAGAACCTCAAGGAGCAAAGACAGTAAGTGAATTTAAAACAATGGTAGAGCAAGGAGCTACATTGTAGTTGAGTCTGGGGTGTGGGTCTGGGATGTAGGGGGCGTGACACCCCAAACTAATATCTCTGTCATCGGCATTTAGAGCCTTGGTTGGCAAATGAATTGTGACCTGCCATTGAGGAATAACTCCCACCTTGGACTGTTTACGTTATTCTCAGACAACTCACATAAAAAAACAAATTGGACATTGTTGTGATTTCTGGAACAGCTTAACAACTGGGTTTATTACATGTTGCCAATAAAACATTGCGCCAATGGCCTTAAACTTAGCAGTTTAACATTGTTTGATAATTTTGAATTCAGAGACTGAAAAACAGTGGTTATACCCAGTACATATCCCCTATTATCAATCTCCTAAATGTTCCACGCCAAATTGGCACGCTTGCAAGACAGAGATTTGGACAGGCTTGTCCTGAATAACTTGGCACGCTTGCCACACATAACATATCGGGCACGCTTGCCCTCCAAAACTTGGCACGCTTGCCACACATAAGTTTGGACACGTTTTCCTTCCAAAAACTTTGGCACGCTTGCAACACACTTTTGGGTAAACTCGTCCTTAAACCAATCGGTAGAATGAGTGAAAATGTATTAAGTATTTATCATGTTTATAGTTCCAATTTGATATAACCTTAATAATCATTATTTCCACCGTTTGTACGAACGGTTGGAGTAATGCAGCAGTAAACCTCCCCCTTCATTAACTATTTCGTAGGAATTATTTATGTATGCAATAAAATGACTTATGTACATCATGTTAAAGCGCACATCATTGGCTTTCCAATGATACCAAATATATTTCTGTAGCTTCATTTATTCCAAAGATATGACCCCAGAACTTCAACAGTGTTCTGCCAAGTTTCTCTAACCTCATTTTAAAAAAAAGGCTCTGAAAAAAAAAAAAAAGACACCTATTGTGCCACCAACGGCAGTGAAAAAAACGTTCTTAGGTTTTTTTCCCACTTTCATGGGTATTTTTTCCCCAACAAAAATGCATCTAGTGTGGAAGTTGGATACCTAGGCTACCCAAAAATACAAAACAATCAATCTCGATTTTCACATTTTCCAGTATATCCGACTAGTCTTAGGCGTCGACTACTCTAAACAAGGTTTTGGGGGACGTCCTTCATTTTGCCTCAGTAGGTCACAGTTGCCAAGTTAAATACAGAACAATGGCGCCTGTCATGGATGTTGCAAGACACATTGTCTCATTTTGGAGCAAAGGTCTCTACAACAATCCCAAAAATAGGAACAACTCAACCCTATAGCTGCTTCCATTATCTGAAAAAATCTAAAACATGAAACTACACGTCTTAACATCTGCAAACTAGAACATGTCCTTTAATTAATGATACTAGTAAACAAACTTGTTACAAAATGTGACACTTTCAACTCAAAAAAATGTGATCACAGCACATGTCTGCACATATGAAACATGTCTTAATGTGAGCGACTGCAAACCACAAAGTATTATTTAATTAATGATACTAGTAAACAAACTTGTTTTAACAAAGATTACAAAATGTAACACTTTCATCTCAAAAATGTGATCACAGCACATGTCTGCACATACATGTATGAAACATGTCTTAATGTGAGCAACTGCAAACTACCGGTACAAAGTATCCTTTAATTTAAAATTAAATACTAGTAAACAAACTTGCTTCAACAAAGATTACAAAATAAGACACTTTTAACTAAAATGTCATCAAAGCATATATCTGCACCTGAAAAAATGTCTTGATTGTAAACAAAGTTCTGCAAACTACAAAGTTTTCTTTAGTGACACTAGCAAATAAACTTGTTTAAACAAAGATTACAAAATTGACACTTTCAACTCATATGTGATCACAACATATCTGCACATGAAACAAGATTAATGTGAATAACTGCAAACTGCAAAGTATATCCTGAAATGATAGAAGTTCAAACAAACTTGTTTTAGCAAAGATTACAAAATGTGACTCTTTCAACTCAAAAATATGTGACCACATCACGTCTGCACATGTATATGAAACATGTCTTAATGTTAGCAACTGCAAACTACCTAGTATCCTTTAATTTAAAATGATACTAGTAAACAAACTTGCTCCAACAAAGATTACAAAATAAGACACTTCTAACTCAAATGTGATCAAAGCACATATCTGCACATGAAAAATGTCTTAATTGTGAACAACTGCAAACTACAAGTATCCTTTAATGATAGAAGTTCAAACAAACTTGTTTTAACAAATATTACAAAATTGACACTTTCAACTCAAATGTGATTACAACATATCTGAACATGAAACAAGATTAATGTGAACAACTGCAAACTACAAAGTATATCCGTTAATGATAGAAGTTCAAACAAACTTGTTTTAACAAAGATTACAAAATGTGACACTTTCAACTCAAATGTGCTTACCGGTACAACACATATCTACACATGAATCAAGATTAATGTGAACAACTGCAAACTACAAAGTATATATCCTTTAATGATAGAAGTTCAAACAAACTTGTTTTAACAAAGATTACAAAATGTGGCACTTTCAACTCAAATGTGATTACCGGTACAACACATATCTACACATGAAACAAGATTAATGTGAACAACTGCAAAGTACAAAGTACCGGTACATGTATCCTGTGATGATGCAAGTTCAAGATTATATTAGAAAGTGTGACATTTCCAACTCAAATGTGATCATAGCACATGTCTGCAAAGCTACATCTACATGTATATTGGGTGCATGTATTTATAACAATGTACATGAAAGTTAATGGACAAGTATATCCTGTATCAAGAATTTCAACAATTTATGTAATGGCATTCAGCTCAAAGTTTCTTTAAGATTTTTAGAGGGATTCAATTCAAACTCCTCTGGACTTTGGGTTAGCATGTGTTCTCCAACTAGTCATGCTGGTATTACACTTGTCCGCTTGTATGAGATTTTGAAGTTCTAATATGACCTGTAGACTCCTTTAATCGAACAGAATTACAGATAACATGAGATCGATATTCAACCTTATCAACATTTGGCACCATTTCGGTCAATTTTAAATCGCCATTAAATGAGCACCCATCCCCATCATTGAAATCAAAACTGTCATCATGTTAAAGGTGACAGAGAAGGTTGACAGAGAAGGAGTCTACAGGTCATATTAGAACTTCAAAATCTCATACAAGCGGACAAGTGTAATACCAGCATGACTAGTTGGAGAACACATGCTAACCCAAAGTCCAGAGGAGTTTGAATTGAATCCCTCTAAAAATCTTAAAGAAACTTTGAGCTGAATGCCATTACATAAATTGTTGAAATTCTTGATACAGGATGCAATTTTGAAGGAAAACAAGCTCTCATTGGACTGTATAGCTACTTTGAAATTTCAACTCTAATATTCCGGTGTAATTCATAATTATTCAATGAATTTCCTATTTACAACTTTACACACATTGCTCCGGTAGGCCCTATTATAATCTTGTTAATGTAATGTTCATGGCATAAAACTGGCTTAGATATTACTCTTCTTATTTTGCGATGACCACTAGACACGTTGTAACTTGCGACGTGTTTTAAGCCGTTGTCAAGGAACTTACGACGCATTCAACACATCGCAACTTTCGTGAAATGGAAGATACTTCGCGTCGCGAGTTGCGACATGTTACACGTCGTAACTCGAGTTGCGACGCATCGCAGCGCTTCGTGAAATCGGGTGCTGGTTGAAAGATAGCAAGGGGACTAAACTCCCTGTGAAATTATTCTTTCTGGCAAGCTGTCATTTTGAAGAAATCAGCAAAAGAAGGCCTTTTCAATGGTGCTTCTTAAGACGCACCGTAAGAAATTTAACTAAGTAGTTCGTTTTGTTATTCGGCGAAGCGCGCAAGCATTGGCACGACGCACACGCGCGCGCGGTTGCTATAATTCGTCGGATCAGTGCGCGACATCGCGTAGCTGCAATCGGCTCAGTGAGAATGTGTATCGGACACTGAATTCAGGCCCAATTCAAAACATGATTCAGCAACTTTTGATTGGAAATCGAGATTCTAGATGCTGTTTTTTCAGAATGTACAGCTGAAGCTGAGCCGAAACTTCATCAGGTTAGTTGTTCAGTACCCTTCTTTAGATTTTGGGCACTTTTGTTGCTTCAAACGAACAAAATGTAGAAATTACAAATGATGGACTATACCTTTAAGATCAAACACAATATGGCCACAGGAAAAAGTCCCCACAACTCATCCTAATTTCTCTCACAATAAAAAACTTCCCCAAACTGCAGTCACTTCTAACCATATGCACACCTTGTACATGTAGGTTTACTAGGCATATTCAAATTTAATTTAAACACATACTGGGGTATTGTACATGTATCGTCCAGCAGTGAACAACCCTCCTGGTGTTTTGGGATCTCATCGAAGCTCATCACAGTGTTGAGTTTGGATCATGCAGATGTGTATCATACATTCCTTCCAGATTTCTACAGATTCCAGTTCATCTGCTCTGATCTCAGACTTCCATGAAGTTTACTTCATAGCGGAAGAACTTTTTCTCTGCGACTACTACGGTACTGGTGCACTCCCATGACCCCTGCGCCATATGCAACCAATAAACCAACAGGGCCGCCAAAAAGCAATCCACCCGCTCCAATACATGTAAGTGCGAGGTATTTTATAGGTATCTGTGCGTATGCTGGTCGTCTATGAGGAGGAGCAATAGGAGCAGCAATAGGAGCAGCAATCCTTGTACATGTAAGGGTTGCTTCTCCTCCAGCAAGGATTGTGTATGGCGGGGATTGTGTATTGGTAAATGCATTCAGATCATGCTCAACTTCAGCCCCTGTTGGACGCCCATGGTAATCTTTCAGTAACATTCTGTCAATCAAGACACGCAGATCCTGGCTTATTTGAATGTTCGACCCATCAGAAAGTTCACATCGGTCCACTTCCCCATTATGAAGAGCTTCTCCGATGCCTTTCAAACTTGAATAAGAGTCCGGGTCTCCAATGTAAGAGGGCACAAATAGTCTGTTATGTGGAGGTACATGTAGAACCTTGCGCTTTAGTATGCAGACATATATTTCTCCCATTAGGAATACATCAGACTTCTCGGTATAGTGTTCATCTAGAACTTCAGGGGCCATGAAAAATCCTTGGCCACAGACAGACTTCATGTAGTAGTTTTGAAGACTGCCCCCTTGTTGGGAGTCTGAGGCTACTTTAGCGAGGCCAAAATCAGCAACTTTCAGGGTACCGTCTGCTGTGAGTAGAATGTTATCTGGTTTAAGGTCGCGGTGTATGATGCCGTTGGCATGAAGGAAAGCCACGGCTGAGGCAATGTGCCTCATGAATTGTAGATCTCGCTGAGGCTGTCGTCTGTGTGACAACAAGAAATCATTTAGATCACCCCCACAGCAATACTCCATGACCAGACAAACCTTACCATCATCGACTCTGATGGTTTGATCATAAATGATGATGTTATCATGCCCAGTAAGCCTACAAAGGGCTTTAATTTCATCCCTAGCATTTTTTCTCAGGGGCATAAACTTCAGAGCATACATTTTGGCCGTTTTTCGCTCTCGCCCGAGGTAAACCTCACCAAATGCTCCTGCTCCCAACTTCTTTTCAATCGAAAAATTGTCACTCATCAAGTCGGACATTTTGGCACACCGAGAAACAGCTCAATGTTCAACAGGTACAGGTACTGCTAAAGCATCTGTTGGTGGTACATGTACCGGTACGTGTAAATTAGGTGTCCATGTGCCCATACAGGTCACAATAAATACACTGAAACCAAAAGTACCGAAACGTTTACCAGGAATCTTTTGAAAAGTCGGTGAAATGGTACTCATACACGTACAAATGTACATGTACACACAAAAAGTACATAGAATAATAGCTAGCTGCATATGGTACTGCAGTTATACATGCTCCGCTATGGTAACGTGCATTGTGTACACATACATACAGCACCAATACACATAGTGTCTGCATGGTTGCTATGGTAACCTATTAAGAGGAATACCTAGTAGTTGGGGGAAAAACAGTCTTTATCAGTTGTTGGTTTTCATGTTAATTGTCATGTACATGTAAAGTGTGCTAGTCCACATCATTGCCATGTTTAAATTCTAAAGGGCTACAACACTGTTGAAAGTGTGGCGGAGCCAATCACCGTTTAACAACCTACATGAACATATACCAATAAATGAAAATAATACAAAGTCTGTTAGGCCTACAGGTACTTATAAAAACCAAATGCCCTCTACCCTTTTCCCCCTCTCATACGTACAGTGGTACCGTACATGTATATACATGTATGTGGTACCTGTCAGGCGCGGTTCTAGAACCAATATTGGGGGGGGGGGGGGGGGGGGGCTAGCACGGTGGATCCAGAATTTTTTCAGGGAGGCGTGCTGAAATATTGACCGGTTATTTTTTCCAGACACTTAGGCCTCTGAAAATCAATGGGGGGGGGGGGGGGGGGGGGGGCTCATGCCATATTTTCAATTGGGAGCGCCAATAAAATCCTAAAATCATTCACACTATATTAACTAATGCACCCTTGTCACGGCTATTTCTTCTTTAGGGGCAGACCATTCGCATGTACATCACAATCCTTTCTTTTTGCTAATGCTAAAACTACAAGCATCACAACATCAATTGTGGTGTCAACTGAAAGGGGACAACAAGATCTTCATTTGAGTAGTGTGCCAGTGTGACATGTGATTTGGGGTTCAAAACTTGTTTTTTGGGCTTACATGTAATTTTGTACGTCATGGATTTTTGGTAGTCATTTTGGCATCTTGTTTTAACATGCAACATTTGACTGTTACTGAGAATGTTTGTGTATAAGGCAGAGAGAAAGGTTTAGAAAAGAGTTTCATTATGTCATGTATGTTGCAGTTCATCAAACTCAGACTTTATGCCGTGTTAGAAACCATGAAGAGGAAATAACGTGAGTGGCGTTAAGTCCGTTAACTCCCTGTAATCTTACAAATTTGATTCGAAATGTATTTATATAGAGTTATGAGTTGAATGAAAGGTAAAATAACATTACTTCTGTGTTGCAGTCAGTTTGAGGGGACTGAACAAAATTGCAGGACAATCCATGTCCTTTTTTTGTAACGTGAGTGACGACCAACAAAACACATGTTTTCAAAAAGCGAATGAATGGATTGAATGTTTCTTTCCATTTTGAGTGCCCCTTACCCCAAGGTTGTTGTACATGGCTGGTTTGATTCAACTTGATCAAATACTTTTGAAGTGAGAGGTCAAGGTAGCCTCATGGCATATGCGGTGAATGTAACGTGAGTGACAGTGAAATTGCCCTCATTGTCTAAGAAATATCCTACATACGTTTTATACATGAACATGAACTGCATTATGTGTATTCTTTAGTGCTAAGTCACTCATGCTGGAATATTAGAATCAACATGCTAGAACTGTTAGTGGGCGTGGCCAAAGTCATCTACTCAGCAATACTACATTTTGATTGGTTAGTGCATCCTCTGTATAAATGATGTGCATTTATTGTACCGTACCGGAACTGTACATGTAAGTAAACGTATCTAATCATGTTGGTCTAGTATACAGCATTTGTAAAAGTCACAGTGAGAGAGAATAAGCCCCACTCCTTTGTTATACCAGTAGTCACAAGGTGGGACCAAAGAAGTCAAACCAATCTAATTGTGTCAGCTTCGAAGTTGCCATAAAGCCACCCAAATCTACCCAAACCCATCGGCTACTCCTCCCTAATCCACCAGTCATCCACCATGATTCACCGGTTAATCCACCAAATCCACAGGTTAATCCACAGGTTAATCCACCCAATCCCCAGGGTCATCCACTAATTAATCCCTCTCCCACAACGCGCCGAGTCCGCACTGTCCGCTGCTTTAGTGCTTTCACCCTGTTGGTGCAGAATTTGGAGTGCTGGATGTCACTGGGTGCTGTGGCCTACCGGGTATAACTGCAGGTGCTTTAAGTCCATGGGGACCTGGTCGGACAGGCAGGGAAGCTGAGGGCAATTCCACCGTCACTCATGTTAAATTTATATGCCACGCAAGAGGCTACTTTGACCTCTCACTGCTTCAAAAGTATTTGATCAAGCTGAATCAAACCAGCCATACAACAACCTTGGGGTAAGGGGCACTCATAATGGAAAGAAAAATTCAATCCATTCATTCACTTTTTGAAAACGTGTTTTGTTCATCGTCGCTCATGTTACAAAAAAAGATGTGCAATTTTGTTGTTACAGTCTCCTCAAACTGTAGTTTGCAACACAGAAGTAACAGTATTTTAACTTTCATTCAACCCATACATGTAGCTAGATATAAAAACCCATTTGAATCAAATAAGTGTGTATTTAAGATGCAAGGGACTTTGGATTACAGGGAGGTACCGTCACTCACTTTACATCACTCACGTTATTTCATGGTTTCTAACAGGGCATAAAATCTGAGTTCAATGAACTGCAACATAATGAAACTCTTTTCTTATAATATGTAAACTTTTCTCTGTGCCTTAAACACAAAACTCTCAATAACAGTCACATTTTGCATGTTTAAACAAAGTGCCAAAATGACTACCAAAAATCCATGATTTTAGCCCCCCCCCCCCCCAAAAAAACTTTTTGGGACCCAAAATCACACTCAAAACCCTAAAACCCCTCTCACACCAATACGTGAAGCCATTTCGTGGCCACTTTGAGGTGTCCGTGGGCGCAAATGTTTAAAATTCGAAGTAACCACGAAATGGAATCGGATCTCACGCGTTGCCACGAACTTACGGTACCTCGAATTAAGGACGTGACGATTCCTTCCGTGGGCCGATTCTCGCGAATGCTCCTGGGATTACCTAAAAAGTTTTTGGATATGTTGAAAAACTGAAACGAGTGCACTTCCGAAATTTATTGCCCCGAAATTGAAAACGTGTTCAATACGGCTTATTTGAAGTACTCTCGTAGTGTTCTCGAGGTTGGGCTGAAGTTACATCGGATTTTACGGGATGGCCCCGGATTGATTGTTGGCCTGTTTTACGGCCGTTTTCATTACGCGGTACTCAGTGCTCAGTGGGTACTACGAAGTGTCCATGAGTTGGCCACGAAGTGCTCACGGACTACATGTAGTATACTCTCGAGCTGGCGCCGTAGTTACCATTGACACCATGTACATGTAGTAGTCTTTGAGCTGGCGCCAAAGTCATCACGGGATGCAATCAGGATGGCCACGAGATGTCGCCGGCGTGCAGTCCATGAATTCCAGGAAACGGACATGAGCACAGGTTGGTCCCGTGGTGTTTCCGAGGTGGCCACGGATTACTCACGAAGTAAAAACGGGTACCACGAAATAAAAACATGCTGGCATTAAAAAAACGGAGACCACGGATGCTGTTGAAAAAAAATCGCATTTCCGAAGTGACGTCGCACTGGTCTTGGATTGGTGTGAGAGGGGCATAACTCCCTAGGGGGTGTGCAAAATCGTATTGAAATTGGAGGACTCAGGACTGTTAGGGTTCATACATCCCATCTCATTGGCACACCTCTCAAATGAAAGATCCTGTTGTCCCCTTTAATTTGACACCACATTTGATGTTGCGACGCTTGTAGTTTGGAAGATACAGTGTCCACTTTCCAGCCGAGTCCACTTCTGCTGCGTAGAATTGCAATGTACTTGGTGACGCACGTGACAGTACGCTGTTTGATAGGCCAAGAGATATTGTCTTCAGCTCTTGTTGCTATTGACTTCTTTATTAAATTACATACAAGAGAGCTAATGTTCCAGAACTAATTTGGCCCTTTTGTACGTATCATCACAGCAGTGCTGTGCAGTGCTGATTCAGACCAGCATTGATGTTTGATTTAAGTTTCAAGTTAATGCTGTGTACAGTTTCAGAGGAGGAAGTGGGGGTAGCAGAGAATCGTGATACAGAAAAAGACAAGAAAACAAGGGACTTGCAGAATGAGTGGTCCAAGATTAAATGAGCGTATGATTGATAAATTTACAAAATTAAATTATTGATAAATTTAAGGGGCACATCGTCCTGAAATTGCAAAAAGTTTTGTTTAAGATCGTTAACTTGTCCTATTTCAAAAGTCTAAGGTTAAACGAAACCAGTAATATCGCACTGTTTCTCAGAAAAGACAGAAAAACTACAGCTGATGTGGCGGACATGTTGTAGCATGTATGCACATGTATGCATTTCTAGCTGTAAGTATAAGTCTCCTTCTTGGACGTTGTCCAAGTACAAACAAAAGATCGATGGTGAGGAACAATAGAAAATCCCCGATTTACACCATGCATAAACAAACCATGTGTGTACTGGTGGAACACGTGTGACAGCATTCACGACTAGCACCCAAACAGCCAAAACGTGACCCCTGAAATTCGTTTTTTGCAAGAATACCACAATAACAGCCAATTTTAAGGGATGGAATATATATCCCTTGACCTTTTTCCACAAATTTCGGTATGTTTAATTACATGTAGACCACGAGCAACAAATATAACCTAATTGCGACAATCAAATTTTGCCTCTTAAGGAGGGCTGTGCCATTAGGGAGACCTGTTATCGAAGAAATTACGATAAACTAAAATCAAAGTGCTGCATTATTAATAAATGAAGATTATTATATTATTATTACTATTATTATTATACTTTCAGGCATCTTGTGGACCTGATAAACAGATGTGCCGTCAGAGGAGAAAGCAACTCAGCAATAGTCACTGGACCGCATGGGAGCGGTAAAACAATGGTAAAATGAAATGTACTTTATTATTAGTTATCCTCAGTGCGCAAATGGAACATGGAATTATGAACTTTTTGTCCAAGTAGCAAACCGGAACAAAGATGCACTAAATTTTCTGTGTTGCACGAGAGTGAGTGGAATAGCAAATGTACCAAACAAACTTGACAGGTACAGATGGAAAGCACATGCTATATACAGATTTTTAGTGGTTATTCCATTACACATGGCTGTAACAGGAATAGCGCACATCTTAGAATGGTGTGATATGGACCGTGGTACACCTACATGTTCATGTACATAGGACAAAATCACACCGGCAACACCATGGATCGACCAATCAGGATCGACGATTCAAGTTTGTTTGAAGATACATGTAATAGGCCTACAGATACCGGTACCTAAAAGTACAGTTTCAGTAAAGTCTGTCACAAGCCAATTTGGCCCATCACGCTGACATTTGTCTCCGCTTTCAGTAGCAAGAAGCAACTGAGAAGATTGTTACTCCCCCTGGATGGGATGATAGTCCATCGCAGGTTACTCCCTAGCTAGTGCCGGTACCCATTTACACTCCTGGGTTGAGAGGCAATTGGGGTGAAGAGGCTTCCCCAAGGACACAACATTATGGCCAGCAGTTGGATTCGAACCCCTGACCCTCTGATCATGAGTCACGAACCAGAACCACTAGGCCAGACTCCCCACACATGTACTGGTACAAAAATGTACATAACCCCCATCTCCTTTTGGCAGCTTTGCTAGGACCTTACAGAATACTCCCAAATCCACTGCATTTGCTGGAAACTTACTATAAGGCCAAAAAAAAAAGTCTCCGGTTTCTGGTATGGAGCTTGTCCAAAAAGTGGTGCGGCGACGCGGCGTTTTTTTTTTTTTACCCGACTTTTTTGCTTCAAATTTGCTTCAAATGTCGGCTGATGACTGCAAATGGTGCCCGACTAAACTTAGTGCAAATATATGGGAGTCCAGAGAGGCCACATAAAGGTTATTCTCGATCATAACCCCATCTAAAAACACGTTGAAATTGCGCAGCAGCCGAATTCCAGTCAAACCAGTGAGTTTGGCGGTTTTGAGACATCATCTTTCATTTTCATTTTTCATTTTGCCGACGCGCATGGCTACGGCGACGCGCGCGCATACCAGAAACCGGAGACTTTTTTTTTTTGGCCTAAGGGCACATTTTTTACACTCAAAACTATCAGGAGGCGTCAAGCTCTATGCAAAAATATAGTGGTTGGTCTGTAATACTTCCATTCTCAATCCTCCAAAACTATCTACTCATTATCAGCATGATACTGAAGTTTCTTCAAGCGGTTTATAGTGTTGATGCTTAAATGTAACTATTGTTTTTGATTTGAGTTTTTTCCCTTTCTTACATGAAAAACATACGTGCAAGGATAGGATAATTGTAGCTATACTACAAGTAGTCTATTTAGAGGTTTGCGCCACTTTTCATACAGAAATTTCTTTTTCCCCACCTGCCTTGATTGGCAACCATAGCCTTTCACTCTGTGACAAATGACAACACAAAAACCACAATTGAAAAGTGGCCTAAGCCTGTAAATAGACCCTTTCATAAAATTGGTCACTGCTCAGTCAACCGTGAATGAAATGACATGGCCAGGGTGTCATTTTAAAGAGGAGATTCAACCCTAACAGAGGATATCTCCCTTTGATTCACATGTGCCCTACTTCTGTTCCAATTACCAATAATATCTCGGTTTCGGGTTTTTTTATCCACCCTGTATAGCTTTGCACGATAGCTTGGAGGGGGCCTTGTTTGTTAAGTAGTCCTCTGTACCGTATCTGTACATTTTGCCAGTACTTTATCGTTTGTATTTTTGTCTATTCCAGCTTGTCTCTAGCGTCTTGAGAGAGATTGAATCCAATCCCAAAGTCAGTAAGAATCTTCTCATCATTCGTCTGCATGGACTCCTGCAGACCGATGACAAAATTGCCATACAGGAGATCACCAGACAACTGCAACTTGACAATGTGGTCGGCGATAAAGTCTTTGTAAGTCAGTCTTTTAAAAAAAAAGAAGTAAAAACTATTTAGTTAAAAATATTTGAAGCGAGATTGAAGTTTTGGGGGAGGGGGAGGGGGAGTGTCTTTTACAGAATAATTGAGTCAGTCACAAGTTAGGTTGCAAGTTAAATCAGGTGATGAACAATGACAAAGGCATTCCATATCAGCTCGGTGCACAAGTACCCCCTCAATGGTAAGAAAGGGAGAGTTGGGGGAGACCACTGGGAGAGACATTCGATCACATTGCAATGATTGTGCTGATATAATGTCCATTTGAAATTTCAGATTTCAGTCTTATATCCACTTGATTTTATACGCATACTAGTACATGATTTTGATTGATATTGTTTTTAGGGCTCATTTGCTGAAAATCTGGCGTTTCTCCTGGAGGCATTGAAAAGTGGTAAATATCTTGTCAGTCTTTGTACATTTACAGTGATACATGTACTATACATGTATCTCTCTCAAATACTTGGAGATACATGTATATAACATGTGTACTGGGCAATTCCATACTAACATTCCCTCCCCCCCCCCACAAAAAAATGCATTCTTTCCAGAACAGTCTTTTTACATCAGGTTAAATTTTTTTAACTATCAAAGTACCGGTAGCAGAGAAAAACCTGATCATGTATGATATGAGGTGTGTAATTAAAGTTCCTGTTTGTTCCATAGAGCTATGAGCGCTAATTTTGTGTTCAAAGTAATGCCTGCTGGGTGCATCCATGTTTGTGCACAAACCTATGGAGACCTAGAAATTGTGTACGGCTTTTGTACGGCTATTTGTAGGGCTATCTGCGTTTGTATTCCATACCGGTGCGTTATCGAAGCCAATGCGCCCAAAACCGAAACGCACGATCAGCAAATGAGCGTGTCATTTTGCTCTACGCAAACAGCGCAACGCATGCGCGTATTCGCTGCAGATGCTTTTTGCCGTGACGTGTTTTGAACCTCATGACGCGCGTATGTTCTACTTGCGCGTTGCATGTAGAGTACAGTTTCAAAATTCAATCCATCTAATTTCATTATGTTCTACAAACACGCACATGAATTCAAAATGTCAACGCCCAGGACGGCTTCAAAGCGTCTCCGCCCGCAGAATGACGAGTTAGCGCTCTAGTAATTTAATATAGCTCTATGGTGTAATTGCAGTTCCTGTTCACTGTTAGTATCGACCATTAGACTTAAGTGTGGCTGCCCAAGTGCCCAGACTTTTTCTTTACTGCCTGTTAATGCTGAGGTTGCTTTTTAGTTTTTGATCAGTATGGTAGATATTCAGAACAAAAACTCATCTGATAATACATGTAGATACTCCCTGTTTTGAGGAAATTTATGAATCAGATACAGTGAGTGCGACAGTTTCGGATCATCAACAGTTCCGGATCATCAACAGTTTCGGATGACTTGATTAATTAAAAATTAATTCAAGTGTAATGTGACTTGAGTTTTGTTTTCACCAATTTGAAGGTCTTGTTTGAGCACCATAGAAACTGCCAAACCTGGAATAAAATGGTAGACAAAAATTGTTGGAAATTCGACAGCTTTTTATGGATTTTGTACGAAAAGGTATTTATGGATGGGGATAATAATATTTGTGACCTGCTACATGTATATCATATATAATGAGGAATAACCCCCACCTTTGACTTTTCAAGTTTCTTACATCATATCAAAACACAAATCTCTTTCCAATGATACCAACAAAAATGCACATAAATGTTCGATACCTGGGCTACACAAAAAAACCAAATTAACCAAAATCGATTTTGACATGATTTTTCACGGCGCTGATTTCAGGCGTCGATTACCCAAAGCAAAGCTTTTGGGGGGCATTCTTCATTTTGTCAAAGCCATGAAAGCAGGTCAAATATATGATGCAGCCATTATACAAATAATGAATGTTTGTGAGTGCAATGGTAAGAATACTTTCATGAGGTGACAAAGGAAGTGGAATGGAACATTTCATGTGTCACCGAATGAAATTATTCTTGCACGAACGTGAAACATTCATTATTTGTTTTATATAACACCTGAATAAATCCTTGTCATCTGATTGGTTGACTTGCAATAGCCAGTTTATTCAGGTTAAAAACTGTAAAAGTTCGACAAGTTCATCATATTTATATTAATGCAAACTGTTCAATAGGTTGAGAACAATCATATTCAATGTATCTCGATTTAAAACAGTGCCACCACCAGCAGCAGTGACACCGTGCAATGGAAGTTCTATTCACCGTGCAATAGAACTTCCATTGCACTGTGCGCTGCGCGCCACACGCGCGCCGTGCGTTGGTACGAATAATTCGATGACATGTGATCAACGATCCACCAATCAGATGACAGGGATTTATTCAGGTGTTGTATAAAACTTAATTTTTAAAGCTTTTGGCTTGGGCCATTATTGGCGACCAGGACCCTAACCAGTTTAAACCACAAGTTCATAACTGTTCCATCACACTGTTGTGGTCTTATTTGTGAGCAGGTAGTGACACAGCACAGTCAGTCTTATTCATCTTGGAGGAGTTTGATCTCTTTGCCCATCACAAGAACCAGACACTGCTGTATAACCTGTTTGACATCTGCCAGTCAGCACAGACACCCATAGCAGTCATTGGTGTCACACGCAGATTGGTAAGTTGGAGGAGGGGCTTCCATAAATATGGGGTGGATAAACGGTAATGAAATACATCGCTCAGAACATGCTCAGGGACATCGCTCAGAACATGCCACGCGCGCGTCAATCTTCATAAAAGGGCAGTTTACATCTTACTCGCCAGCTGAACACTCCATTATTTTGCTAGGGGGATGTTTCAAAAAGCATGAAGTGAACTTGTTGAACAAATCGGTATATTTTGAACGAATTATTTGATATTTTTTACCAAAAAGGTATTTATGAATGGGAATAAATATGTGCTCAGTCGGTATTTATCACTCTGTTTAAGACCACTTAGAGTCTGGGTGCTGATAATTACCCTCGCCTCCGGCTCGGGTAATTATCAGCACCCAGACTCTAAGTGGTCTTAAACAGAGTGATAAAAACCTCCAGAGTACACATTTATTCCCTTAATAAAAAAACATTTAAAAATTTTTTATGTGGTTCACTCCATTTCATAAAAACAACAGTGATAAAATACATTTTATTGACTGAGGTCACTCTGAAAATGCCATGTAATTTGCATACTCTATTCCCAAGTTATGTCTATTTTAATGAAAAGATCACTGTTCAGCTGTCCAACACTGATCATTTACTGTTCTACAAACTGATAACTACCTAGTAAATACAATGAAACATGGATGTTTTCCTACCGTCATGAATGCACGAAAACTTGCAAAGGAAAACAGACAAAAATCGCAGTCAAAATTTCGGAAAAAAAGGGTTGACTTGTTCTTCATATTCAAAACACAAAATCCGATTGTAAAAATGATGTTTCAGTCTTGACTCGAAATGAATAAAATCTCAATTGAATTTGAATAGCTGCATGTAATCTGTAATTCTCACTCAGCTCAATACCGACATCTTCCGATGTCATTCCATGGACAGCTATAAAAATAGTTCTCTTAGTAAAACATGCATAATTTCTGAAAGCGTGGATCAATTTCAGTAAGTATTTTTTGTTTTCAGGTGAGTGGAAGAACATGCTCTTTCAAGACATCTTCATTAGTGTATCAAATTTGATTGCTTTTTAAGAAAAAAAAAGTTTTTTTGTGTGATTGCGACTGCCCTCTCAATTTACCAACTGGAGTTGGAAAAGACTTCTTTACTAATAAACAGAAAGTTGTGGGTACAATTCAAAGCCTGCAATGTTTTTTTTATGCCCCGCGGCGAAGCCGAAGGGGCATACTGTTTCCGCCTTGTCCTTCCGTGGGTGGGTGGGTGGGTGGGTGGGTGGGTGTGTGTGTCCGGACAAATCTTGTCAGCGCGATAACTTGAGAAATACTTAACATATGAACTTCAAATTTGGTTTGTGGATTGTCCTTGGTAATCCTAAGAAGCCTTTTGCATTTGGGGCCGAAAGGTCAAGGGTCAAGGTCACAGTGGCTGAAACAATAGAAATTTTGTCAGCACGATAACTTGAGAAATACTTAACATATGAACTTCAAATTTGGCTTGTGGATTGTCCTTGGTAATCCTAAGAAGCCTTTTGCATTTGGGGCCGAAAGGTCAAGGGTCAAGGTCACAGTGGCTGAAACAATAGAAATATTGTCAGCGCGATAACTTGAGAAATACTTTACACATGAACTTCAAATTTGGTTTGTGGATTGTCCTTGGCAATCCTAAGAAGCCGTTTGCATTTGGGGCCAAAAGGTCAAGGGTCAAGGTCACAGTGGCTGAAACAATAGAAATTTTGTCAGCGCGATAACTTGAGATATACTTTACATATGAACTTCAAATTTGGTTTGTGGATTGTCCTTGGCAATCCTAAGGAGCCTATCGCATTGGGGGTCGAAAGGTCAAGGGTCAAGGTCACAGTGGCTAAAACAATAGAAATCTTGTATTTATTCTGAGATCATAGGGATTAGGGATTAATTAATATAAAACCTACAGAAGACACTAATGCTGTCCATGAACATTCCATTTGACCAAGGTACATGTAAGTTGATGTTAGAGTGGTGTTATGTCATGGAAACAGTCACGGTTGCGGGGCATTTGTGTTTGTAAACACACCTGACTTGTTTCTCACAGAGTCTGGGAAAATTAGCAGTATTAGCGGAACATAGCACTTATAATTATGGAATGGTAATCATACTTTACTGAGGAAGGAAATAATATGTGTTAGACCCTTAATATCCCAAATCCACCAAATTCTATAAAACCTGATTTGGTTGGATACGTTTCATTGTAGTAACAAAGGGCATGTCCAAAGCACAAAGAATCACCATCATGTGTTACAGCATGACGCACCGCTTTATTTCAGCGGACTTCAGACACGTCAGAAAGGTTCAAACAAGACTAGACCAGTATAAGGCTGAGTTCACATTATTCTATTCAATCGATTCGGAGTGGCTATTCACTGGACGTCTTTTCATGTATCTGATCTACGCAATAATGACCAGAATTTAGCTCATTTGTTGGCACTAAGGGGGTAATCCTATACAATAGCACTGCCCGGCCCTCTTCACCAGCCTACAGCCAGTCCAAGTCATAAGTGACAGGCAGCAGGGTTTGACCTTAGCAGTAGTCCGCTCTCCAAATGGGAGTAAAAACAGTGCTGGACTTGTCAAAACCATTCCCTAAGTAGTACGACTGGCGAGTCCAAATTATTGTAATGAGGCATGCAACTTTTTCCGCGTATCCACCGCTTTCTGCATTTTTAAAAAAGCTGGTCTTAGAAGAAATAATGAGATATACTGATCCGCAGTTGGCTTGTTTCATGCCTAGGAGCCGCAGAATCTTTTGCTGATATCGCTAGTGTATGACAAGAAACACAATAAAGGGGGGCACTTTAAATTTGCTACCGTCACGTTAGCAGTTTTTCCAATGGTTGTAAATTTTTGTTAAATATCTAAAACCACCAAAGACGAATTTCAACACATGAATGGTCATGCAGCCTTTTACTTAAGATAATTTGAGTTGATCATTTATGTTGCTTTTTGACATTATCCTCAAATTTCCATCGAATACTGGACAGAAAACTTAGGTAACTTTTTCCATCCATTTTGGATGGAAATTTGAGGGTGATTTTAAAAATTAAAAAACAAAGAAATAGGCATGCAACTTTTTCTCGGATCCACTGATTTCCTCAGTTTTAATTCTCATGAATGCCATTACAATTTGAAAAGCTTTCAACAAAGTCTTGTGTGATTTGGAATTTCCTGCTTTTTTCCCCCTAAATTCCCAGTTGCATGCCTGGAAAGGAATGATTCAACACATACATGTATATTACATGTATTATAAGCCTACATGTCCATTTACATTTCAAAAACTTTTTGCGTGGTTTCAGGTACTGTAAAAAAAACAGTTCCAACCATTGGAAGAAATGCTAACATGACGGTAGCAAAGTGGCCCCCTTAATTTTGTTTCTTGTCGTATGCATTAAAGATTGCCTCAGGACCCAAGTTGTACATGTAAGCACATTGTTGTCTACATTGTATGACATTTTTGTGCAAACATTTTGAACTTCTATTGAATGAATTAAAACTCATGTGGACTAGTGAAAAGTCCCACAGACTAGTTGACAGTCTGTTTCATTCGTCCAGCTGGCTAGAGAAAAAAAAGAGTTGAGGATGAACCCTGCAGTCAGTCGGACAATCGGTCAGTGAGGGCACTAGGCTAGCTCTCAAGGACCAGGAAAAAAAAACAAGATTCCATCACTAGATGGAAAATGTTACCTTCATTTCTTACACTTTCAGGATGTTGTAGAACTCCTGGAGAAACGAGTCAAGTCCCGCTTCTCCCATCGTCACATCCATGTCTTCAACTCGCTCGCCTTCCCTGCTTACAAGGAAGTCTGTAAGAGGATGCTAACACTACCAGCAGAGGTTGGGGACGCAAAGTTTGTCAAACGCTGGAACCAAGATATCGAGGTGAGAAATACTGCGAAGATGTGTGCATGCGCTACACAAACAAAGAGCTGCCATGAAGTTGCACAAAGGTCCAGTAGTATCTTGTATGCTGCTGGCTAAAATTTTGAGTATGGTTCGGACCTAAATATACAAGGTGTTGAAAGCACGCTGCATCAGGCGAAACAGGTGCGGGCGCATGACATGACTGCTTCAAGACTCCCAAGACGGTGTTGTGATGGCGGTTTGTGGGTGATAGGCCCTCTTACGACGGGTGATTGCATATCCAATATACAACAACATGGTCTTGACCCAAGACTAACTTTGCTCCAGACCCGACCATCAGGCAAGGCCTTGTGTTTTCTGGTATCTTATTTGTGTTGTGTGTTTGGGGTTTACGTCCCCTGCAAACAAGGAATCAATCACTTTCTCCCCCTCTCTTTCCGCTGATTCCACTCTGAGCAAATAACATTTTCAAATAAGTTACCCAAAACTCGTCTACTAGTAGTATGCTCAGCCCCAAAAAAGTGAATTCCACACCGAGTTTGTCAGAACTTTCAACTAAAAAAAACCAGTAAGGCCAAAAAAAAAAATAAGCCGGTCTCTGGTCAGCGCGCGCGTCGATTTTAATCATGCACGTCGATCTTTTTTTTTTCAAAATGTTCCGCGGTAGCTCCAACAACGCCCTCTATTTCCGCCCCTCCTCAATTTTTTTTTTACCAAAGAGCACCAAGGAATGGGAAATTGCACCAAGGCAAATGATCGAAAGCACCAAGGCAAATCATGGAGGACACCAATGTACATGAGGACACCAAAAAAGCAAAATAGTACCCCACCTGTCTGTACAATCCAAGCTTGAAGAAAAAGAAAAAAAAGCCAAAAAAAAAAAAAAAGCCGCGTGGCCGCGTCAATTCCGGACCTTTGGTCTGACCAGAGACCGAATATTTTTTTTTTTTGGCCTAACCGTGATTATACGGTAATACTGCACTACCAGATGAAACTTTTTTCAATGGCATTTTTTTGTCATCGGCAGTTCATTGTTCCTATCCTTTGAGCGGGTTAAAGCCCATAATTGGCAAGTTTCAAGGATTCTAAAAAAGCAGTCAAAAGCAGTCAAACGCAGTTGCGAATATCTAATACTAAATTAATAGAAAACAAACGGCCCTAGTCCTGCTTTCTTGCAGTGGTTTCATTTTGAGTTTCCATGAGCTCTTCTTATAGTTTGTATGGGTCCTCTTGTGGCATTCCTCTTACAGCTATATTTTTTTTTTCTCTTATGCCACCCCAGGCATTATGCAGCAATGCAACAGTCCACGATGTTCTCAAGAAAACCTACCAATTGGACAAAAGCATCTGCAGACTTCAGTCACTCTTGGTAGATATCTTTGCAGAAACTGTTCTTACATTACGTGTTCAGTGTATGTATTATTGCTTTAAAATGAAGTTGCATTCAAAGGTATAGTCCATCATTTGTAATTTGTGCATTTTGTTCGTTTGAAGCAACAAAAGTGCTCAAAAACTAAAGAAGGGTGCTGAACAACTAACCTGATGAAGTTTCAGATTAGCTTCAGCTGTATATTTCGAGAAAAACAACATTCTAGGATCTCGATTTCAAATCAAAACTTGCTGAATCATGTTTTGAATTGGGCCTGAATTCAGCGTCCGAGACACGTTCTCGCTAGCCAACTGCAGCTAAGCGATGTCGTGCACCGATCCGACGAATTATAGCAGCCATGCGCGCGTGTGCGTTGTGTCAACGCTTGCGCGCTTCGTCGAATAAAAAAACGAACTACTAGCGGACATTTCCAATGGTGCTTCTTAAGACGCACCGTTGGAAAAGGCCTTTTTTCGTTGATTTCTTCAAAATGACAGCTTGCCAGAAAGAATAATTTCACAGGGAGCTTAGTCCCCTTACTATCTTTCAACCAAGTATCTTTTTCAACAATAATTACGCCAGTTACTTTTTGGATAGCTGCAAATGATGGACTCTTGCTTTAAGAGAGCCCCTAAGTGCATTGTATTTCTTAATGTTGGGTTGTGATAAAATTGACCTTTGTGAAGTCTGTTGGTATTATGCCATTTTGATTTCAAGCTTTGTTGTATATAGTGTTCTCTGATATGTTCACAGCTTTTACCAATCTGTAAAGTGACCGAGGACCACCCAGGGATAGAGGCAGTGGACCTAGTGGAGTCCAGTAAACATCTTGGTGCTGATTCTAAGGCGGCCATGTTGCATGGTAAGTATGCCTGTAACTGGTTGGCTGGCTGGCTCCAGGCTTGTTTGGCTGGTGTACTGGCTGGCTAGTTTGCTGGTTGGCTGGCTGGCTCCAGGCTTGTTTGGCTGGTGTACTGGCTGGCTAGTTTGCTGGCTGGCTGGCTGGCTCCAGGCTTGTTTGGCTGGTGTACTGGCTGGCTAGTTTGCTGGCTGGCTGGGTGGCTCCAGGCTTGTTTGGCTGGTGTACTGGCTGGCTAGTTTGCTGGCTGGCTGGGTGGCTCCAGGCTTGTTTGGCTGGTGTACTGGCTGGCTAGTTTGCTGGCTGGCTGGCTGGCTTAAACTGGGAACTAGAAATGTCTGAAACGTTTTGTAAATGTCTGTAACTGGCTATTTGGAAGTCTGGCTTGCTGGCTTGCGTGTGTGTGTGTGTTCCTGCATGGCATTACGCCTGAGGACAGACAACAAAAGGAGCACAAAGGGGCCATTGATCCTCGAAGGAAGGTGCCTATTGTCCTCGAACACAGGTTTGTGTGCTTAGTCTATGGGAGAGTGTTATATTACAGGGACAAAGGAAAACACAAAGCCAATCCTCGGAAGCATAGCAAAAAACGACTGGGTGTGTGTGTGTGTGTGTCCGGACAAATATTGTCAGCGCGATAACTTGAAAAATACTTAACATATAAACTTCAAATTTGGTTTGTGTATTGTCCTTGGTAATCCTAAGAAGCCTTTTGCATTTGGGGCCGAAAGGTCAAGGGTCAAGGTCACAGTGACTAAAACAAGAAATTTTGTCAGCGCGATAACTTGAGAAATACTTTACATATGAACTTCAAATTTGGTTTGTGTATTGTTCTTGGCAATCCTAAGAAGCCTATTGCATTTGGGGCCGAAAGGTCAAGGGTCAAGATCACAGTGGCTGAAACAATAGAAATTTTGTCAGCGCAATGACTTGAGAAATACTTTCCATATGAACTTCAAATTTGATTTGTGGATTGTCCTTGGCAATCCAAATAGGCCTAACGCATTGGGGGTCGAAAGGTCAAGGGTCAAGGTCACAGTGGCTAAAACAATAGAAATCTGGTATTTATTCTGAGATCATGGGGATTAGGGATTAATTCATATAAAACCTACAGAAGACACTAATGCTGTCAATGAACGTTCCATGTGACCAAGGTACATGTAAGTTGATGTTAAAAGAGTGGTGTTATGTCATGGAAACAGTCACGGTTGCGGGGCATTTGTGTTTGTAAACACACCTGACTTGTTGTTTTTGTTTCGCCAAGCTCTGCCCTTGGGCAAGACACTTTACTCCACACAAATATAAAAATGCATTCTGGTCAACAAGTTTTGATGTCTTGTAAATTGCAGGCATCTCTGTGCTGCAGTTGGCGTTAGTCATCGCTATGAAACACTTGACTGATTTGTATGAAGGTGATCCGTTCAACTTTGAAATGCTGTATAATGGTAAGAATGTTGAAGATTTTTAGATGTTTGGGGTAACACCTATTTACCTCGTTCAGCACCTGTAGTACATGTACATTGTATTACAATCCCTGATAAATGCGTAAAACCATAGAGCTTGGGTGGTTGGGTGCATTATGGGCTCCGTGCGCCAACAAAGAGGGCACTTTTTTACCACTTTTGAGAGCTCCGTGGACTGTACACACAGCATGAGCCAACTGTACTGTACTGGTTCGCGAGCGAAGTGCGCACGACTTCCTGTATGTGCAAAAGCTATTAGCCACAGCGTCTTTGCGTGAGGGTCATCGGCGCGCAAATATTTTCGAATTTAGCTTGCGATGGTCTCCTAGACTAATCTCCGCCCTTGATAACTTTGGATCATTCAAAATACGCAGTGGATGGACCGAGAACCGGTCTAGGTCTCCCCCAACTCTCCTTTTCTGGCCGTTGAAGGGGTACTTGTGCACGGAGCCCATAGGGAGTAACAGGGTGGTTTCATGGTCACATGAAAGGGAGCCCTCTAACAACAAGTCAAGGACAGTTGATTTTTTTTTATTTCAAAACCGTCATAATTTTTTTTCTTCACAAAATTATGTGTCCACATTCTTTGGACACTTACAAATTCATTTGGGATTTTTCACAATGACAGCATCATCAGACTGAAGGTATTTTTGTCAGAAATGATCAATCTTTGTTCACTTCTTTACAGAATACCTGAAGTTTGTGCAGAGGAAAGCTCATGTCGTCCAGAGTTTCGAAAAACCAGTCGTTTTAAAGGTAAATACTCGTAAAAACTGTTTTACTATTTGCTTTGGCGCACTTTATCAGATACTGGTTCTTGGTCCGTACATTATCAACCGTGATAGAAGGTACATGTAGGAATGAGTCGACTTTGTGAGAACTGAATTATTGTCGGCAGGAAATAATTTGAAACTTTTTCCCCATAACTATATAAACATGGGCTGGTGTCCGACCTTTGATATTTCATTCAAAATTGAGTAATTTTTGTATTGCTAAATAATGACACAAAATGTAGCAAGAGCGCACGATATTCAATCGATTCTTCTTTTCACTGGAACTAATAGTGGAAGTCTTTTTATGCATGTGGCCTACACAGTGGGCCGGAATTTAGCATGATGGGGTTATCCAGTGTTTTAAACTTTGGGGCGAAGGTGAGGCGGGTCTAGTTCACAAGTAAAAGTCAGTGAGTGGTTCAGGTGCAAAAGAACAATCAGCTGGCCCCACCCCCCCCCCCCAAAAAAAGGGGTGCAACTCAAAAAATAGCATCAACAGTACACCTGGCACAAAAAGAAACTAAGCAGTTTTTATAATCATCCTTGTTTGGACATTTCTCGGTGAACAAAAAAAATCCAAAATCAATGTTTAGTCACGGAAACTATCCAGTTCAATTTGATACCTCACTTGGGAACACTGTGTAAGAAATAACGAGAGCGCAAGCGCTGAAGCTCCTGTAACCCCAGAACTAACAGTTGCACTTAGCAAGATTTTCAATGGGCATTGCAACACACAATTGCATGCACACATACTGAAATTTGTATTCTTGTGGTCAGGAGACTTTTCTTTGTAAGGTTCTCGTGTAGTAAAGTTTTCGAGTTTGAAAGTGAAGTTTCAAAATGCTCTTATTTTAACCAGAATTAATTTCCTTGGCTGAAATTCAGACTTAATATCCCTTTTCTAAAACTCTTCCATTTGTGACGGATCAACCATCCTTGGAAATTCCTAGTTTTTGAGTAAAATCCATATATCTATTTTGTGAAAATCTTGTGGAGATGCATTCATCTATAGAAATTGCCCTTTGGAGACGTATACAATCTTTTGTTCCCTATTGTGTGCACGTCTCCAGAGGGCACGGTGTATCAGATCAATGATGCAGGCCCTGCATTCAATTGTGTGTTGCAATGCCCTTTGAAAATCTCGCTAAGTGCAACTGTTAGTTTTGGGGTTTCAGGAGCTTCAGCGCTTGTGCTCTTGTTAAATATCTTACACAGTGTTCCCAAGTGAGGTATCACATTGAACCAAAATGTTTCTGTGACAAAACGATGATTTCAATTTTTTTGTTCACCAAGAAATGTCCAAACAAGTATGATTATAAAAACTGCTGAGTTTCTGTTTGTGCCAGGTATACATCTTCAAGTTCCTTCCACTTCTCTTGCAGGCTTTTGAACATCTCGTTTCATTGGAGATTGTGAAGCCAGTCGACGGACACGGTTCCCGCTCCCAGAAAGAATATCGGGCGATGGCCTTACTGGTCACGTCGGCACAGCTCATGGATGTGCTCAATACCTACCCGGGTTGTCCGAGCGAGTTGAAACATTGGGCCTCCAATCCTCTACCTTCATGATCTTAGATCAGCAATCTCTTGTGATTCCCCAAGACAAGAAGTGACACTCGTGTTGTTCCTCACTGCAGCTGAAAAGTATGCCATGCACTTCACAGGATGACTGAGCAAAACTGACACATTTTGCCTGAAACCCTCAATGTCACAGTTGACTCTCGCATACGCAAACTCTATCACAACAAAATGTGGAGTGCCGTGGCCTAGTGATCTGGAGCATCAAACTCATAGCCTGCGGGTTGGGTATGGGGGTTGAGTCCAGCCTGGGATTGTGGTGCATATGTCCTTGGGCAAGACACTTTACGCGCATGGATGTGCACAATGAATGGGACCATCGATCGCCTGTCTGCCTCAGGCAAAATTTGGACTTAAACATTTTGCTAGGTCTGACTGCATGAGTTTGAATTTATATATGGACAGTAATCCCTTCTGATTTGATGAGATTCCTTATAAACATTCCCATGCTCTGGAGACTTGACCAGAACTCCAGTAGTCGTTTATGGTACATACAGGATTCTTCCTGAATCCTTAAAAATTCTTTAATGTGCTGAAAGCCAGTGGAAGCATCCGGTTTACCTAAAGTTGGACATCATGTCTCACATTAAGTATAACTAATAGTATTAAGTAAAGGATCAACCAATCCTATGGCGAGTTTGCCTCAGACCTCATACGCAACCACCAAATAAACTACTTCTGAATTCTCCGTAATCCTCCCAAAAGGAAAGTAGTGGCAAGTTATTTGTACTTACAGATAAAACAATAAGCCATTTGCGAGTAACCTATACCCTTTGGGATTTACATTTGAAAAACGTCTGGTACAATGACTTGCTCAGAATGCTTGGCACATTTTAACTGTGAATTCTCCAGACCAAAGACACTGTTGCTAATCACATGATTCGGGGCAAGCTCTTGCATAGTTACGTAAGAGACGCTCAGCACCAATACATCGTTCACAATGGGTGAGAATGGCACAAAGACACCAAACCATGCCGGAGCTGGGGGTTGCTAGCATTTATAAGGCTTGCCCCGAATCGCGTGATATAGTAACAGTCTCTTTGGTCGGGAGAATGCTAGGTTAAAACGTGCAAAGCATTGTGTTAAGCCAGCGTTCCAGATTTTATTCAAAGTTAACACGCAAATGGCTTATTGAGGGGCAACCTGTTCTCTCCTTGTTGTATAATCAATGTACGGTTGTAATGCTTTTTGTGACGCACCCTTACCCTACTAGACCCTCCAACGCATGCCAATATGTGCCTCAAGAAAATCTCCTATGTTTTTTGCATGGCCCTCCAATATCTGCCATGTCATTTCAAGGGTAACTGGACAGGCACTCCAATACATGCCACAGAGAACAATGAGAGTCCTCTGATAACAAAGTGAGTGCCCCCAGCTGGTCAGTATCAGGCACCCTCCAGGGCCTCCAACTCCTGCCAATTGGAGCCTTCACTGTTAAGACGAACTATCTGCCAATAAACTGCAGCTGGAGGGCATTGGCATAACCAACTGACATGCAGTAAACTACCCTCAGAGAGTAAGGGTTGGTCTCGTGTCAAACTGGAAGGCTGAAAGGGAGTGACATCCTATGCCTTTAATAGGCTCCTAAGATCCCGAAACAGCAGAGGAATCGGTCATGGAAGCCCTGGTGTTGTCCTGGCAAAGCCATGGAAAAGTCATGGAATTTATAGTTTTAGGAGTTCTGTGGGAACCTGTAGTTGGCAAAGGAAAGGCTGTGCTTGTACTCATGGTTGTGTAATAGGCTTGAATTTCATGGCACGTTTTCTTAAATATCTAATGAAGGCAATGATTTCTTTGGGGCATGTCTCGATTCATATCCAGGACGATTCCCGGAAAAATTGCGGGTAGAATCATTCACTTTGTCCGGAAGACGCTCCGCATCTGTCCCAGACATGTTCCAGGGAAACTTTCATAAGCAATTGCTTGACTCAACCAATACTGGTAACTTCATTGCGGGAAGATTGCGGGGAAGTTGTTCAGATTCCTGTAACTTATACCCGATACAATGTCTGAAACTCATCCCGGATATGAATTGAGACAGGCCCTTACCGAAAGAGTTCATCGCGGTTGATACAGAAAAACACCCCGCAGTCAGAAATAAATTTCTGCTGTTTATTAATGTTTTTGTTTCTTCAAGGCATAAAAAAGGGGCAGTGCATATTGTCGAACAAACCCCTCTTCATAAGAACTTGTGAAAAAGAAAGGGCTTTGTGTGGTTTTGTTTAGTTTGTTAAAGGCACAAAGCTTTCTTCAAGGCATAAAAAAGGGGCAGTGCATATTGTCGAACAAACCCCTCTTCATAAGAACTTGTGAAAAAGAAAGGGCTTTGTGTGGTTTTGTTTAGTTTGTTAAAGGCACAAAGCTTTCACACGCCTTTTGGACATATATTTGTAAGGGCTCAGAAAAAAACTGGCAGTTGCCTTAATATATTTTACAAAATAATAAAATAAAACAGAATGTGTTAATAATGAAGTCATGCCTGGTATACATGTATCTTTTTAAATAGTGTCCTCAATAAAATAAGCACTTTCTAATGACTCCCTATGTGCAGAGAGTATTAGGGCATCCCTTTTTTATCCCCCTGGCTTTTAAGGGGATATTGGGACAGCGTATTCATTCTTTGTGTGTGTGTGTGTGAGTAGGTTTATGGTGTAAATCGAAGACGCACACATGCAACATCATCGATGAATTGAGGACTGGAACCAAATCGAGGAGGACCTCGATTAGAAAACGTGTACAACACCAATGAGACCTGTTGTAAAAAAGTTAAGAGTATAAACCAAGGAAAATCCTTGATTTACACCAAAAACAAACGTGTATGCATGGGTGTATGTGTGCTCTTGCATGGCTTTACGATTGGGGATAGACACACACACAAATTTACTGGTGGAAAAATAATGAATACAAAATTCAGGCAATTCACATGATTCAGGCTCAGTTATTTGAGAAGTGGAAAAATAATAATGCAAAGTATAGCGAATAGCAACCAGTGCTATCCCAGACGTTGAGGATGCTGCCTCTCGTCATACAAGGGGCCTGTAGTTTACCTTCGCAGCATGATAAACTCGTCCCACAGAGACAATACGCACTAATTGGCATCATTTACCTAAGCCATGGGTTCAACGATTAGTCATGCGTAGGCATTTTCGTCATCAGTACATCAGGGTTGGCCATTATTGCAATAAAGGTCGCCTCTACAGGTAGTCATGGATATGCAATGTTTGTGCTGTCATCAGTACCTCTAGGGGTGACCATTACTGCACTTATGGTCGCCCCTAAGTATTCATGTTTGTGTCTTCACGATTACCTCTTGGGGCGACCATTATTGCATTAATGGTTGCCCATAGAGGTATTGTTTGCATATTTGTGTCGTCATCAGTACCTCTAGGGGCGAGCATAATTGCACTACCGAATGGTCGTCCCAGAGGCAGTCGTAAATATGCATGTTGTGTCATCAGTACCTCTAGGTACGAGTAGGCATGAATATAATTAGCCAATGACAAAACAATTTACAACAAATAAATGAAAAAATTATGAAAATAAACAGGCATGCAACTTTTCCTCGGATCCGCTGATTTCCTCGTTTTTGTACTTCTCATGAATGCCATTACAAATTGACAAACACTGTACAAAGTCATGTGTAGTTTGGAATTTCCTCGGTTTTTTTCTAAATTCCCAGTTGCATGCCTGAAGTATTAAGTCAATTTCATCTTGCCAAAGATGGCCTGATTACATATTATTTTGGTATGGATATCAACTGACAAACTCATTGCAGTAAACACAACTGGAGACATACGCACTTTGCACGAGTTAATTTAGCCATCTACATGTATATGTATACGTGTGCAACTGCAAAGTTTTTCCTTCAGATTTTTATATGTGAATAGAAATAAAAAGGGACAACCATACATCAGATGACGAAAATGTCCGATCAGTTGTAGTCAAGTTTTCATTGCTTTCTATGCGTTATGATTTAGTATTTCGGAATGAAAACCCATTCAGCTTCAAGAAAACGGGACTTGGAACCAGACAAGGATATTTCAGACGTTTTTGGATGTCCCCACCAACTTATTAAAAAAGTACTGACATATAAAAGCAAATCATATAAAAAAAACAATTGGTTGCAGTACTTGCTGCTCTATCAGAATAAAACCAGCCAGCCGACCCCCGCAAGCTCGGTGGTTGAATGGTAAGACGTCTGCACTAGTAGGCAAGTCGTGGGTTCTACTCCCCCGCGCAAATGCGCAATTGAATTTTTCTCGCAAACCATCAAACACTGACTACACAGTGTTATTGAATTCAATTAATAAAGGGCAGTATTAGTTATCCTATGAGCGAGAGTGGAACATGGAATAATGTAGTGCACTACATTTTCTGTGTTCCACGAGCGCAAGTAGGATAACGAAATTATCGTTAAGCAAACTTGTAAAGTTGGAACGAGCACGCTTATATTTACAGCAACCTTTTAGCAGTTATCAACGTGCGCAGCTGGAATTGGTGCTCGCTTCTTGGAATAGTGCGATACGCTGAGTGTGATATAGACCGTGCTACATGGGATAATGTAGCACAGTTTGTTATAATGTAGCACGGTTTGTTGCCATGGATCGACCAATCAGGAAGGATTCAACTTTACTTGAAGATAAAACCCAGTGTTAAATCTTCAAAGTCATTTTTACAATAAACACACAGTACATCGAAAGGTCAATTTTTCAGAACACATTTATTACAGGTAAGGGTCAAGAATAGTGTGTAACCATGGGAACAAGCATGTCCATTATTCAACACACAATACCTGCAAGAACCTACACCTAATACACTGATTTTGAGGGTAATTGTATAATTAAACACATAATACACTACTTGCCTAACAACTACTTATACCACATTTTATGGTAATATACACATTGTTAATTTACCACTTTTTTTTCCTTTTTTTTCTGTACATTTACAATGATATAGCTTCATTTAAAACAGTAAAGGTGCTTTTTGTGTAGTATAATTTACAGGCTCACAGCACAAAATACTGTGTGTTCTTTTTTTTTACCATTCGTTGAATTGTTAGTCATCACGATTACATTAAATCACATTAAATAAAAAGAAAACGAATTTGCATTACGGTAATCACAAAAAGCATGATTACTAATTTTTTTCCTGCTTTTTAGTCTAAAAACGTAAAAAATAAGCGCTTTACACCGAAATATGCAGCTACCATAAGTTTGACACCTTGTGCGCACGTGGCTCTGAGGTGTGGTTCCATTGCGGGGGAAACAATAGTTCTGTGATCTCACAGTTCAAAATTTCTATTTTTTTTCACCCAGAATTTGCAAAGACAACTTTGGCTCCACTCCTACCCCAATTCGTGTGAGCCATGAGCTTCAGCCAAGCTTTCAGAAACAATGTCAAAATTGTCTAATTTCATACTTCTAAACGAGTGAAGTCCGTACAGCTTGTTGGTGTTTTGTTGTGCGATTTTGGCAGTGACAACAAAACCTGTCAGACTTAAAAAAAAACTGAGGTGTCCAAAACAAAAACCAGATGACCCTCTGGTTGCAACTATGTTCAGAACCACACCTTTACACCGCCAACAACAGATCTAAGAGATGGGGAAGGGCAGGGGGAGGGAAGGGTGGAGGGGGGAGCCTGGTGCTTTCCTTCATACGCATCATACATGTATAAAGATACGACATGAGCAT